ATTCTATTCTATTCTATTCTATTCTATTCTATTCTATTCTATTCTATTCTATTCTATTCTACTAATGTATATCTTTGGAGGTTGCTTTGGAGGAGGAATACTTGTTGAATAAGAGTACAGCTAATGAATGGAAATGGGACAATTGGTACCAGAAAAAGATACAAACACTTAGAATTACTGTCTTACTATACAATCAAGTAAAATAATACTTGATCCAGTCATATAAAATTATTCTGGTATAGTTTAAAAACAAAATTCAATTCAATTAAAGCCACAAATACTTCAACTGTTCTAATTATTTGATAGTCTGCAGCTTTCATCGATTGGTAGCAAGCTGAATTGGATACACTAGACAAAATTAGAAATTAAGGTCCATCAATCATGTGTTTGTTTGTTTTCTACCAAAGCTCTTCTTTGCTAGAAGAAAGATGGGATACAATTTCTTCAAGTCAAGCAAGCAAGAGGTATAGTCTGAATGATTATATTAATAGCATCAAAATAATTCATATTTGTACAATGATATTAGGAAGATGTTCATGATATTATATTTCAAACACCTGTCATAACCAACAACTAAGACACAAGCATTTATATTGGTGATTATGATGTGTGAATTTGGCCACACTTCATCTGACAATAAAATCAGGTGTGACTTCCTTTTAGTTGTTAAACGTCTATTATGTGGTTCCCAGAAAGCTCTTATATCTCCCATTACTCATGTGTATGGGTTTCATTTGATGTGCGACTTGTTTGTTTCTTGACATCTAATGATAATGTGATTTGATAGGTTTTGGCTTAGTGCATTGCTTAAACCTAGCCAATTCTGTCTGACTCAACAAAGCACATTAACCAAACTAATCCAGTGTAATATGTGAACTCAGTCTATTTCTACTTGTCTTATTGTTTTGTTTGTTCAATGTTATAAGACCTATCCTGAAAATTAGACTTAGCATGTTTTTATGTGTGCCTAATATAAGCCCTATCTCCAAAATAAACCCCACTTAAGAGCCTGCACAGCCGGCCACCTGCCCATTCTGTCTGGTTGTTAGCAGTGCCTCAGTCACAAAGCAAGGGGGGGTGAAGCTGCCCCACATGCCCTGCACAGGCTTACCTCAAGGCCCCCACAGCCAGGCTATTCATGACCTGACATCTGCCTTACGGCAGCAGCACTGGCAGCCATGTGGCAGCCATGCAACAGGAGCCCATGTGGCTGCTGGCCCACTTCTGCTTGCTCTTGGCTGCAATGGAGCAGGAGGCTGAGTGGTGTATTGGTGCTACAGCCGCAAGGTGAGGCAGGTGTCAGAGCGTAGATGGCCTGACTGCAAGGGTCCTGAGGTAAGTCAGTGTGGGGCTCATGGACAGGTCCACCCCCCTCCTCAAGGTGGCAGCACTGACATGCTGCATGGCATCCTGCACCAGCAGGAGCAAGCAGAAGTGGGCCTCCCATACATGGGGAAAAATAAGACACCCCCCAAAATAATAAGCCCTAGTGTTTCTTATGGGGCCTAAAAAAAAATAAAACCCAGTCTTATTTTCAGGGAAACATGAGTTATATAGGTTTCTCATAAAAACAGATGTTCTGGAATTCCCATTTTTTCTGTGCACATTCCGCAGCTTGATGCAATTGACACAGTCAAAGGCTTTTCTACAATCAATGAAGCATATTATTTTGGCTTTCTTAATTATCCAGCGTGCATCTGCTATGTCTATGTTCTTCTGTCTTTTCTAAAGCCAGCTGAAACATCTGGCATCTCTTTTGCCATGTAGGACTCTAAACTGTATTGGATAGGCTAAATATTATTTTGCTAGCATTTGAAATTAAGGATATTTTATGGTAATTTGCATAATATGTTAAGACTCTCTGTCTTTTTTTAAAAATTGGTAATGTAGGTTGACCTCTTCTAATCTGCTGATCACTGTGTGTTTCTCCAGATTTGCTGACTAACTTGTCTAAAATCTCTACTGGTGTTTTTCTCTGTTGCTTGTCATATTTCAAGGGGCATTCCTTCAGTTCCTGTAGTTTTTGACTTGGTAATGACCAGAAAGCTAGTTTAATTTAGTACTAGAGGTTCTTTTAAAGTAGGAAATATCTTCTAAGATAAGATGTTGACGTTATGTTCAGTGTTTTGGTTTTCTCCCATTTTACATATATAAAGAGCAGGAAGCAGCAGCTGTCTAGAATCATAGAGTTGAAAGAAATCATTTATTTATTTTTATTTATTTATTTATTTTGATTTGTCAATCACTTACAAGATAATAGGTATAAGTATATACATAGTTATAAATACATGAAATGGATGCACGTAAGAAAAATAAAAGAAACAATAGGACAGCAACGGTAGGCACGTTGGTGCGCTTATGCTCGACCCCTACAGACCTCTTAGGAAAGGGGTGAGGTCAATAGTAGACAGTCTAAGGTTAAAGTTTTTGGGGTTTGGGGAAGAAACCACAGAGTCAGGTAGAGTATTCCAGACATTGACCACTCTATTGCTGAAATCATGTTTCCTGCAATCAAGTTTGGTGCGGTTTACTTTGAGTTTGTATCTATTGTTTGCTCTTGTGTTGTTATGGTTGAAGCTGAAGTATTCATTGACAGGTAAGTCACTGCAATGTATGATTTTATATACCATACTTAGATCAGACCAAAGACGGCGTAATTCAAGGTTTTCTAGGTCTAGAATTTCAAGTCTGGTGTCATAAGGTATTCTACAACGAGTAGAGGAGTGGAGAACTCTTCTTGTGAAATATTTCTGGACTTTCTTCTTGGATGAGAAGCAAAACCTCTTCAAAAGAAAAACCAAAGTCCTCTTGTCTCCTGAAAAAGCATCTTTGTATATGGTAATATGTCCACCTTTTCAAATTACATATGTTCTTTTTAAAATAAATATTTTTAAAAAATATCTTAATTTTCCAGCCATATTGGTTTTTCCTGTTGTTTTCCACCTTTTCTTTCATTCAGTTTGTTTACAGTTGTCGTTTTAGCATCTCTTTCTCTTCTTCCTTGTCATCCCTCCACACCATTTTTAATTTATTCATCTTGACCTCCTTTTTAAATTCTTTTTAGCATTACATAACAGAATTTCAAAATTCCTGCTACTTTTACTTCCTCAAGAAAGTCTTTGCTATTGATTATTATCAAATCAACTGATTCCCTTGTTACTTCCTTTTTCTTCCAAAGGAAAAACTTGTCAGTAACATAAGTCAAGAATTTCCTGGAATGAACATGCCTGGCCGTTTGTCTTCCAACAAATATTGAAGTAATTCAACTCTCCAAAAACAAATGTCCATTACTAACCATGTTTAAAAAACAAAACAAAATGTGCATGGTGACGTCACAGTACATGTATTTGCATCAGGTGGGAATATGGACTTGCCACAAGAATTAAGGAATGAGTATAAATTCCTGTCCATTAATCTTAATTTCAATTTTAAGGTTCCCCCAGATCTTATTTCTTTGTTAAAAAATTCTGAACCAAAGTTTCCAGCATAATTCACCATTGCTACTTCTCTCTTGTGCTGCTGTGAATTGCAGATCTGAATGGCCACAGGTATGATCTTCAGTCATTTTAATCATTGCCTCCTTTGATATGAAACTGATCTTCCTCCATTTGCATTAAAATGTAAAAGTTAAGCCTTGCTGTTTGCTCTTTAAAAATTTTTTTTTTTGAAGGGAGCAATACAAATTGTAGCTTTTACACATAACGATGGTGAAAAGAACATATGTCCAATTCATGCAACATATTGCTTTGGTTTTGATTTGCTGCATTGAATTGAGTTTTATAAAACATGAGTTATTGCTTAGTTCATAGTTCAAAACCAGCCAATACTCGAGCATATCATGGCTTAACACGTGGGGTGTGAATCCAGGCACTGGAAAATTTATGCCAGAAAGATCCAGGCATATGTCAAAAACTCAGGCTATCATTTGATAATTGTAAACATCCTATCACAGCAGGTCTGTGGGTAAGTCTCAGTGGGATGCTTCATGCTGGTATCTGATGAAGAACTGGGGAGGAAGACAACTTTTTTTCTCTTCCCCTCCTACACTTTGTTTGGGTTATGAGAACACAGAACTTGTTGCAACTATAGCTTAACAAGTCTGGTAACACTTACAAAAGTAAACTCTCTGTCCTAAATCATTGCAGGGAGATTAACAAGTCCTTTGACCTGGCTGTTTTGATTTGGCAAATGCTCTTGGATTTAAATATAGCCCTTTTTTACCCTCACAGCCGAGTGCTTTTCATTTGTGTTCCTCTGACATTACCACGAAGGTGGGCTGAGCACAGCAAATCTGACGAAAAAGTGGGCTGATCCCTTGGACTGGGAGCACTTCCTTGCTCTCAGTCAATGATTGTGTTAACCAAGTGCAGAACACAGGCAGTGCCAACAGCAGTGATCCTGACTCTCCTCTCGTAACAGCATCTAGAAGGCAAAGTCCAGCTGCAAATCTCCAGCTGCAGGATTTTTTAGAGATACATTTTTTTTTAAATGAACATTGACTGATTTTCCCAGAAAGATAATGGGTGTGCAGGATTATATTTGCATCACTATGACTGGAGGGGCACCTTGGGGTTTCAGACTTCAGGGTGGCAAGGAAGAAACGCAGCCTTTGCAGATTGCCAAGGTAAGAAAATAAGAGTATCTTCCTTCCTGTTTTAATCAGTGTATGAATTTGTACATGTGTGTAGAGAAATAAATAAAAGCTATGTATAGTATAATTTGATAGTTAGAACACTTGGGAGTGCTTACAGAACTTCTTCAAATGAATTATCAGATGCACTTTTAAAGAAAACTATCATTTTAAAACATTCCTACTTTAATATCTTGGAAAGTACAAAGAGATTCCCCATATATATGTGTATCTTCTGAAATGTTCATTAATTTTAACTTCTGTTGAACTTGTTGAATGGCATTGAAAAGACACTTTGCAGTAAGCACTAGGCTTTGAATGAGCAGAACCTCATTTGTGATACTTTTTCTTCCAGTTTTGACAAAGAAGTAAACTTATGGCTGCAAGGGAAAAATTGCACCTAACCTTTCACTTAGTTTGGACAACTCAGTCATGAGGCTATTGTCTCATTTTATGTAAACTGACAGTGTTAAAATATTGTTGATGACAAATGTCTTTTACTTGCTATGTATTTTATTGGTGAAAGCAAAATAACAAGGATATGAGAATTCTAACTAATTGCTTTAAAATCCTCCAATAGCATAGCCAAAACCAATAGTATTTTTTAAAAAAAAACATTGGCAATAAGTAGTTAATGAAACCAGTGTACTAATATAAAAAAGATCATGCTTTCTCTATCCTGTGCATATATAAAGATACTTGGATTCATTGAAATTATATATTTTTTATTATACAGCTTGCTTTTATTAAGAAACAAATAAGGAATAAGGAGACATTTTCATTGATTCATGAATATGATATAGTAGTTGGAGGACTGCCAAAGTTTACTGTAATATTTTGTTGAACCATTTTTATCAGTTCATTTTTAGTATTTAAAATAAAATAAAGTTTATAGCAACTACCTTATTTCAGTCAAGGACCAGATGTCTTTCATGTTCTTCCTCTATCTTGAAAGACCAACAGCAAATTCTTTGGGTACTTTGACAATAAATGGTTAATGAAATCAGTGTACTAATATCAAAAGAATGTTATCATTAAGTATTTTGTACTCTGAAAGTAAATTTTCTTTTGGAAAACCAATAAAAAAGAGCTTTCTATTTTGAATGTAATTATAGTTTGAACACAGCTGTGATAATGGAATTCTGCCACCTAGTGACACAGGAAAATGAACTATAGAAATTAACGGAACGAGCACAGTTGTAGGACGAATGCATGGCAAAGCTGATAGCATGCATTAGAATTATTGAAAGACATTGCTGGCTGAAATCCAGTGAATAAAAGAAAAAGAAAAAGCGATGTCTCTTTCAACATGGATTTAATGGTGCATTCTTATCAGAGTGGAAGCTACATTCATTGTATGCAGATATTAGGGATGGTTGGTTAGTAGATATCTACAGTCAATATCGCTGCAAATATAAAAACTGTCCTGCTGACTCAAAGTAAATATATATAGTCCAGCAGGTGATAAAGGAATTGCCTATCATTTATGCTCTTTTTTTTTTGGCATGTGATTTTCAGTGATATAGTACCTCTGCATATGGTGGTTCCTTTTAAGTCTTACATCAGCTTCCTTTGCTAGCCCTCTCTTGTTTTCATTGATTGTTCAGTAATATTTCACCTTTCCTCCAAGAACTCCTATACATGTATCGCAGCTTCTTTCAGCTTTATCTGTGCAAGAGCACATATAGTGTTCAAGCTAAGAAAGGGTGACTGGACAGTGAATTTTTGTGACAGAAGATAGACTTGAAGTTGAGGTTCCTGATAGAACCTCATAACCCTTCTATCACACTGGTTTCATGAACTCGTGTAATCGTGTAACAGCAATCGTGATCCTTTCTGACAAAGTATCAATAGGATTAGCAGAAGGAGAACTGAGAACCCCAGATCCACAAGAGGCTGATAGATAGAAAAATATTAATTTATTCAAATGTGTAGAACAAAGGATTAGTTAAAGGACTACATAACACAAGTAGAAAGTTGGAACAGAAAAATATGTACAGCAACTTCAAACCAGTCACTGAACAGAGTTAGTTATAACTCATATAATTGCATTTTCTTCCCAAAGTATTAATGATGATTCTTTCAAATGAATAACTGCTTATATAGTGATCAGATGATATTCAAGTTCTTGGTGATGAGCCTACAGAACAAATTGTGCTGAAATGAATGTCTCAACATCTATGGTAGCTGTTTAAAGTGAAAATGGAGTCATAAAGTTGTGGATGAAAGGAATCCTAATCCATGAAAATGTAGGCAATTATTTTCTGTCAGTCTGTAAGGTATCACAAGATTCTGTAATTTTTGGAAGAATGGTTGTAAAAACAAAGAGCAAAAAGCACAATAAGATAGCTGCTTTGATAAATATAGAATGCAGTCTAATGCCTGTTCCAGTAATTTTCCTTCTGCTTAATGTGAAATGTTACTTACTATAATATCTTTACTTTTGTATGGATGAGAAAAAACTGTAGTAAGATATTTTCTTTTTTTTTTATTTAAAGATAGCAAGCTTTGAAACAAACCCTTATAAAACTTTTCATGACAGTCATGGGACTGCATCTGCTTAGAATCTTTCCCAGCACACTGTTGGCCTATGTGAGAAGGAAAGTTGCCAAATCTCCAGCATGTTCTCTTATCTAAATTTCCCAAGAGAACTGGTGATTCAGCAGATCTTCTAAGTATCCTGCTTGGACATCTATGCTCTCTGAAAAAATCTGGGGCTTCAGGCATGGATGGTACTGAAAGCTTCTGGAACTATTTCTATCTATTTTGCTCTGCAGTTTTAAACTTAGATTTATGTGACTATTCCCCATTTTTTTTTGGGGGGGGGGGAAATGTGACCCCCAAAGCTTATTTTTGTCTTTGATTTGTATAAGACATTCCCTATAAATGCATATTTAAGAGCCTTCCAGAATCTAATGGGATTCTCACTAACTTTCATGTGGTTTTCCAGTTCTGCTATCAGACCCTATTGAGGAAGAAGTATAATTGAGATTATATTTCCAAGTCTAAGTTTCTACTGGATGGATTCATACACTGTGGGAGGTTATGTTTTCTTTTAGACATAATTAGGATTATAATCCCAACTGACTGAATTTATGCATTGAACTAAGTGACACACCATCATTTTATGCTTGCCTTCACATAATCAAACAAACTACATAGCATTTGCCACATTTGGATATAAAAAATATGGTATTGCAGTTTGGAGTACCAGTTGAAAAACTCTTCTATTGTCTTCAGACTAAACATTGCTGAATATATATTGTTGCAGTGGACTACCTAGTTAGCTGCTGCAAGATGATTATACAGACAAACTACAAGTAAGGTCATGTCAAAGTATCAACAATCGTGCATTGAAATATCAGAAAGCAAGAACTGATAGGACTTTAAATTACACAAAGTAATAGACAATTATAAGTGTTCTGGGACTTTAGAATTTAGAGAAATAAGCACCTGCAACGTTACCCCTCAGACTTAACAATTGGCCATTACATCCCAGACTTAACAATCGCCAATAAGAAACATAAAGTAGTTTGGATAGTGGCAGTTCCTGGAGAAAGCAGAATAAAAGAGAAAGAGAAAATCTAATGTCCTGCAGATAGAAATGGAACAAATGTGACAAGGGAAAGCTGTGTGTGTGTGTGTGTGTGTGTGTGTGTACATATGTACATACATACATACATATATATGTATACACACATATTAAGCATATATACCTTTTTAAACATTGACAATAAATTGCAAAAGACAGCTTTACTTACAACAGCTTACACCCTCGACAATACCTTTAACACTATCAGACAATATCTGCTTATCCCAGGTTGATAGGTGGATAAAAATGCCAGATGCTATCAAAACACCTGGCTGACCATGCAACCAAAAATCACTTCATTTAATTTGGACAACTCAATTATGAGGCCATATTATGCAAACAAACAGTTTTAAACACTGTTGATGAGATGCATTTTTTATTTAGTATGTATTTTGCATATAAAAACAATATAACAATGATCATATAATAATTCTGATTGCTTTGAAATCTTCCGTTAGTATAACCAAAAACAATAGAAAATTATTTTTAACCATTGACAATAAATGCTTAATGAAACCAGTATAAGTAATATCAAAAGAATGTCATCAATAAATACTTTTGCTTTGTAAGTAAATTTTGTTGTAGAACAACAACAGATTTGAATGAAGATCTCGGCTTTTTAAAATAGCTATTTCAAAGCTTATTGAGGTATAATACTGAATGTATCATACCTAGGTCATAATCCATCATCTTACTAAATTAGACCTAAAGAATAATCTGTGAATGTAGGAATTACAATACAATATATTGTATACAATATATTGTATACAAATGCAATCTGACTGATTGTGAAACTAAGAATACATTTTTAAATAGATAAATTAAATTTCCCATTTTGCATATCACATTTGGATCAGCTTAACCAGTTGACAGATTTAAAGGCCAGTTATTTTTGAATGTCTACTGAAGTAAGCTAAAGGGCTAGAAGATGGAATATGGGAGTGTATGAGTTAACTGTCTTGTGTTTTAGTTTAACGTTTCCTGTCTGAATATTTTTGCCAAGTATTTTCTGTTTGTTACACTCTCGCGAACCAAAAATTATACAATAGGAATAAGGCAGATCTGAACACATGGTGTGAACTTCTGAACTTGCTTTCTTAATGATATCGTGACATGTAAGCCACATCAGAAAGAAATTTTCAATAAAATATTTCAAGAAAGATCCTGCAAAGTATTTAGATATGAAGGGAAAAATACTTTGATCCAGACTTAGAATAATCAATTGAACTTCAATTAACTATGATTCTTCTAAGTCCATTAATTCCTACTCTAAGGATATTAAGTTGTATTCCAATTCATTGTTTAGACATTTTTATTTTGGCACAGATTTTGATGATTTTCATCACTTTTTTGCTTTCAGTTGCTAAAAGAACTTCGTTTTCATCATTTTTAGCAAATCAAT